TTTATAATCTTTGTATGTGCCATAAGAAAATAATCTTAATAATGTATAATATGAAATGTGTTGCTCATTATTTTGAAGCTAAATATAAATTGTAATGAAAATTATAATTAGATCGTATTGTAGTTTCGTTGCGTTAATAAAAGTCTAACTATATAAAAGAAAAAAATAAAGAAAAATTCTTTAAAAAAACAAACGACATATTATATAGTTTTAAGAGGCATACTTCAGCAACATTTGGCATGCTTAACAATTCAGCAAACACATAAACGCCTGGCGCAGCCAGTGCATCTTTGATCAATTGTACACATGCACCGCCTTTTGCAGATTTAGAAAGCAAAAGATAAGGTTCTAAACGTTGACGAACTGAAGAATTTAAAACTTCAGTCATTATTACTTGAAGAGAAGTATAAAATGCAAAAGTTTGTTACATTTCAATTATCAACGATCAGTAGGTTCAGATGGCACGTGACAATCTGAATAATCACTAAGGATTTCTTTTTTTTAATAGTACCGTATTTTACACCCACATGTTTATAGAACTTTTTTTGCCAACTAGCATTTAGACGTTTTAAGTAACAAGCAAAAATTTAAATCCTCCTTTCGAAAAAAAATATATTCCTTCAGTGAAAATAAGCACGTGTTGTAATAATATATGTGACCTTTGCGGAAAATAAGTTTTCTTTCCATTATATATAATCACAATTGTACAATTGTGCGATTATAGGAAGGTATCACTGTATTAAAGCTGTGTTACACCATATATAATTACTTCGTTTAATTATACATTAGAGCTCCAGATTCGTGTAATGCAAAAATAATACAAATTTAACATTTTCATAAAATCGATCTACACCTATTATTCGTTTAATGAAAACATCAACTTCTAAAATAGTCTCATTAATATTAATTTAAATTCAACTTATTATTCAGTTATAATAAATTAGAAGGATTAAGTTTACTTATAATTAGTTAAAATATGTTTATTTTAACATAAATAAATTTTAAATGTTTCAAAAATTGAAATAAGGTATTTATAATTTTATAAAAATTTCTTTAAAATATTTAGATTTAAAATTAAAAGAAATGTTTTTTTATTTTTATTTAAAAAATATCATAAAATTTATTATCAATGTATTAATTATTTTAAAAGTTATTAAAATAATTAAAAATGATTTTAATTATTAAATAAAATCACTGATAAATTTATTTACAATATTATTGAAAGAATATCAAATTAAATAACTTTAATTTTAAAAATAATTTTTAATAATATTAAAATTTTTTTCTGCAGATTTTTTAATAAAAAAAATTAATAAAATTTCTTTATTTAAGTTACAAATTTAAATTAAATAAAATAAATAAATTAACAAATAAATTTATTTTTTAAATTTATATTAAAAAAATGGATTTTAAAATTAATTTTCTTTCTACTAATTAAAACTATTTTTTATTATTTT